CGCCCTTTTACCGTCTAGGTCTCCCTACGACAATACTCCCGCTGGTCCCCATACCTTCCCTCTTCTTTCTCACCCAGTCTTACCTGCCCCTGTCCGTTCGTCGACTATATTGGACGACTGAGAGGTGTCCTGGCTTTGGGGTGCTGAGACCATATCCGATTCAACTTACCAACCACCACCGCCTCTGACGTTTCTCGCCGGAAATAGAACGAGCTAAACATCGGGTTATCCTTTTTAACCTACTATTGAGTGGTGAAAAAGAGGCTCTTTTCCGTTTTATTTTGGTTTATGAATAGTTCTGAACCCAGTCCTGGATAGAATAAACCAAGTCCTGCTTCTCCAACACGAGGTGTGAGCTGCACGTTCGTACAGAACCTTGCTTTTCAACAACCTGAGCACACCGCGACGGGTGACAGCGACGCAATACAGGCGAATAATCCTTTACAATTATATCAAAAACTGTGGGTGGCTTCGGTTCTTCGTCGTGGTGAGCTGATATCCGGCGCATCGCGACGACTTCGCTATCATGTCGTCTTTTCTTCCTGTTAACTCGGCTCCTGCCTTTACACCAGTAAAGATGGATGGCACAACTGCCACTCCCAAGAACTCTTCCTCCCCTCACCTTGATCCGTCGAAGACGTCTTCCACCCAACCTTCCGCCTCGTTATCTAGCGGAACAGCAGATCACGAACGAGATAGCGGGTATGGAACTGTGAATGGCGAATCTGAGAAGCGATCCATTAGCAGTCCCCGTGTCTCGAATGCCGCCTCTACAGGCAGCCCCGGTCGAACACATAGTCGGGAGGGCTCATCGGTTCGGTCTTCCGTGCCTGAAGATAATCCTGGGGCGGAGTCCGATGCAGATCAGGAAGGAGGTTCTGAAAATGGCGCAGAAATGGGCGAGAGCGCTCCCCCGTCGAAAAAGAAGAAGGGCCAGCGTTTCTTTTGTACAGATTTCCCACCGTGTACATTAAGTTTTACGAGAAGCGAACACTTAGCGCGCCATATAAGGTCTGCTCTGAATAATCTCCCCCTTTTTATCCAGCCATAATGTCTAATACGTTTCAATATAGGAAACATACCGGAGAACGTCCCTTCCAGTGCCATTGTTCACGGCGATTTTCGCGCCTTGATAATCTACGACAGCATGCTCAAACAGTACATGTGAACGAGGACATCCCTGGAGACTCCCTCGCTGCGCAAGGAACACGGTTTCAGCGCCAAATTCGAACTGACCGCGTCAGGCCTCCGGGTAGAAATCGTGCTGGTACAGTGGGTAGCCAGGGAGGGCATAGTCGAGGCCATAGCAGGAATCTATCAACTTCAAGTATTGGGTCGACAATGTCTACTTACAGCCAATCTCAGGAAATTCGCCGGCGCCCGCCGCCTCTGATGATGGCTGGTGATGGTGCTGCTAGAACCAGGTTGTCACTTGAGAGTATGAACGAGCCTCCAAGGACGCCTCCCGCTCAAATCCACGCGTTCCCTACTCAGTCACCTAGTAGCGCTTTGTTTACACCTGCTTCAGCTACCTATCCCGCCGGAGATGGAGGACCCTATTACTATGGGTCCCCGTCTTCGGCGACTTCAGGTTTCTGGGCCGAACGGGGTTCCGGCCGTCGTTTGTCATTTCCTTCAGGAACGCGGCCATTTGAGCCTACGAATACGTATCCACCGGCGTTCCCCAGACCTTTGGCACCATCTACTTCGTCGTATTCTAATAGTGGAAGTATATTCGGAAGCCCGAACGCTCCACACACGCCGCGGGATGACTCGAATATGTCCTCAGCAGAAGCAGATTGGCGGAGAAGGACATGGCATCCATCCACGCATACAGGCTTCGGCCGTCCCGTGAGTAGTGGGTTGTGGTTCAACCAACCGGCCGAAAGACCGCAGCCTGGCTTCGGGACCAATCCTCCCCCTCGCCTACCTGGAATTGAGAGTTTTGACCAGGTCCAACAGCGCCCCTCGACCCCACCAAGGCGAGAGCCGACGCCTATGCAAATTGACAGACCTTTGACATCTTCTAATGCAGCCCCTGCCTTTGCTCCGACCTTCAACACTCAACTGCCTACTGCTCGACCACCACCTCCTATTTCTGGGCCTGGTCACCGACGAGGCCATGTTTCATTTGACATGTCCCTCCACCAGAACCTCACGAAACTTGACATACGTGGCAATACAGCCTCAAATATGGATGCTTCGCATTGGAGCCAGCAGACGATTGGGGAGTTACGGGATGTTGCATCACGGCCGTTTGGTTCCTTCCAGCGGCAACCCGTCGAGCCGACGATACATCGAATCCCAGATGCATCCAGGCCTCCTGAACAACCTGCCACTAGTTCAAACTCTAATGGCCCCACGACTCCGACCCAGAACAAGAGACATGGATGGTACAATGGTCCTCTCCCAGCTTCTACGTCAACCAACCAGCCCGCCAATCCATCCCCTGAGGATTCAAGCAGTAGTGAAGGCGTAGCAACACCATCGGCCTCCGCGCCTGAATACCACCCCGCCATAGTACCTAGTCATGATGATATCGAAAGGCATCATTCGCATGTCCAAACTGAACCTCCCAATAATGTAAGTCAACACTGCTACGTTTTTGTTTTGCTGGGAAAGTTTTTGAGGCTTTAATTTATTAATTCGTTTGTGGCAGGCTTGTGCTCCCCAGGCGCCTCGGGCCGCTAATAATAATTCCTATCCTGTACATTCCAATCCAGAGTCACGACATGTGTTTTACTCGGGAAATTCCAACCATCCCGCAGGTGGAATGGCCCGTTTGGAGGCCCTTGTGGCAGTTGCAACCAGCGAAGACAAGGGTGCGGGCAGGTTCATTTAAATTACGCTCGGTTCAGGATATCCACCATTATGATGAACTAACCTCCTCCACGGAGTTTCTCCTTATTTCCTCCATTCGGTACATATTAATTTTTATGCTCAGCAATTCTCCAAAAAGCATCACGATTGCATCAGGGGATAACATCCCGTTAACTTTTCTTCTGGCTCTCTTATTCCTATTCACGACCGAAAAGAGACACGAAACAAAAACAGCTCCATTGCTGGAATACGGCCGCGGTTTTGAGAAAGCTATTATATATATTTCTCTCCACTCTACGAACATTCACGACGTAACGACCTACCATATATACACAGGTGGAGGCATTCTTTTGTTTTGCGTTTGCGTTCGACTTTCGTATCCTTCTTCCTTTTGTTTCTCCATTAGCTCTTCTGCAGTGTGACCGATGAACATAACAAGTGCACAGAGGGCCTTTACGGAAGTTATTTCCTGCTTTTCCGTCACCCTGGTTTTGGATGTTCTTATTTCCTTGTCTTTATTGGCGGCTGATCACGGTTGTCCTTGTTGGTTTTCTCACATATAGAGATGACCAATTTTTTGATATCCGTCTCTTTGTAACTCATGCGACCCTCGTTGCTGTTGGCTCTTTTACGTTTTCCGCTTTGCCCTTTTTAAAACATTTTAAGCTGTCGTCTGTCAGGGCTGCTTGGATGGTGAGAGAATCAATGAATTCCCCTCGCAGACAGAGAGCGGCCTTTGTCAGCCAACGTTTGCCTTTCCCACCAGGAATTTGAAGCTTTGGGACCGCAGGACGAAAGGCACGATTTTGGATTTCGCCTATTAATGCTTCTGAGCACCTTGAAGTATTTCTTCGCTCCGCTGTTGCAACTTCCCTGTTTCCCTTTTTTCCCAACCCCATCCTTCTCCGTCGCAGCTTTTCATTCCTCCCACTTTTTTTTTTTTTTTTTTTTTTTTTTTCGTCTCCCTTTTCCTCGTTTTCGTTTTGGGAAAACATTCGCGGAATGACTTGACGAGCAAGTTATGATTTTGCATTAGAAAAATATGTCCTTCAATGACTCTTTAACGCTCCTTGATGTTTTCAATGCCTTTTATGTCCTCTGTCTCTCTTTTTTCCCCCACCACCGCTCATCCCCCCATTTCCCCCCCCTTTCTGCTTCTTTTGGTCGAGAGCTAGGTTTCTTTTTCCCTTTCGTAGTTGCTCCTCTACTTCTAGCTACCGCCTATGCCTCTTACCGCCTATGCCTCTTACCATTTATGCTTCTCCTCTCATTTTCCTCGTTACTCTTTGATGTTATAATTCTTCCCTTTTACCCTGTGAGTCCGCCCTTTTTAATTCTTTCTTGGTATTACTATTGGGTATTGATTTCTATTTATATTGCCATTGTAGTTTCATTGTTATATTTGACCTTCACGGATGCTCTCTTTCCTAACTACTTTTGTTATTTGATGATTTAACTTCTTCTGGTTTCATGTTTCATTTTTTATGACTGATGTTCTAATGTTTATGGCTTTTTATGGCTCTCTTACTTTTTATGTTTCTTATTTTTATGTTTCTTATTTTGTTACTTTTCAAATATTGAAATGTATGTATGTATGCATGTATGTATTTACATATTGTATCTATCTAATTATCTTCAATGCTTTGGCAGCAATATCACTTTACTCCAGTTAACACAATCTCCTTTCTTTTGCATGTTTTCTCACATTTTACTGTTTTATTTCTTTTATTTCTTTTTATTTCTTTTATTTCTTTTTATTTCAAGTTGACAATGATGATTATGAGCAGCTGAAATAATAGTATTAACTTGCTTATATACACGTACATAATATCAACCCTATTTATGAAATACAATGTGGGGAAATGAGTGTGCGCAGTAATATACACCTTTATCCATTATTAACAATTGAATTTGATATCTTCAGCAAGATTTTAGACAAGGTGTTTGCTGCTGTCAATTGTTCTACTTCTCTTTCTTTCTCTATGCTGTTGTCTTTCTTCTTTTTCCCCTTCTTTCTCCTGTCTTGAAAATGCAATCTTTGTTTAATCTTCGTTTTATCAAAGACATTTATTGTTTCACTCTTTGTACGTGAATCCGTGAATCCCTTTGTTGCTTACTATGTAAGTTACTTCTTTTCTCACAAAAAAAAAAAAAAAAAAAACCCTCCTCGTCGCAGAGTACGGTTTTTGTTAAAACCGACTCATGAACTCTACATCAATGACTGAATTGTCTATCCCTCTCTCCTTTGTTTCTTCCTCTTTCAATATCCTTGTTTAAAGCCCTTTGGTTTCAATAGTCATGGCTTCCTTCCCTTTCTTTCAGGGGGGATCGAGTATGGGATTGGGGGATGAGGAGTGGTACTGTACGTTTACAATGAGCTGTGTTATTAAGGCAACATTGACTCGGTTGTTAAGGGGCAACCCCAAAACGAGGGGTTTGAAGGGAGGTGAAGAAAGAAGGTAGTGAAGAATAGTGGAGGAAGAGATTACTAAAATAGGTGTGCAGTGAGAGATATTAAGGTGAGAGTGATGTCTCTTTGCGCTCTTGTTCTCTTGTTTGTTCTTCTCTTGGTGCTTCTTCCTCCTCCTCTTCGCTTTTTTATTTTGGGGGGTTTAGTGATTGCTTTGGGATTCTATATCTTTTTCACCCAAGTTGGACACCCTATTTGCCTTTATACCAAACGTCATACGTATATATCTCTAAGGATCTGATTGTGCTTAGAACTAGCCATATTCACTTTGTTCAAAGTATGCGATTCGCTCGCTGTTATAGATTGCCAAAGCTCTTTTGTCTTTAAAAGGGATTTCCGCGTTTTGGATCATTGTTACTCGCAGGTCATATTTATACTGCTTCTCCGACCGTTATACTTTGACTCTGGCTTCGTTAGTTCTTAAGAGGGCCATACAGACCCATGAGCCGACTGGTAAACTATTTCAGCATTTCTCTACCGCTCTCTCTCAGAGCCGGTACGCGCGAGACATAAAAGGAAAAAAGAAAAAAGAAACGGAAAGCCGATCTCCAAACCCACCTGTCCGCTCAAACATGTCACAGAAACGTCGGCCAAGGAGGCTGAGGACACACGCAGCAGGATCAAAGACGATTATTGGAGCCAAACAACCTGCCGATAGCAGTCCACACGACAGCCAGACACCCTCGAAATATTTGAAGGTCACGAAATCTATGAGCAGATACAGTTTGCAGCAGACTGGTGAATGTGGGTTAGCTGTCAATGACCGGACTAGCGGGGAGGAATGGGAGTGGAGTGAGCTTGTGGACGAGAGTGAATGGAAGGAATATGAGGAAATTGCCGCCTCGCCGACGAGTGAGGAGAAGGAGTTGGGGAATAGGGCAATGATCAAGCTTGACTGTGAGCTATCTCGATGCGTGGTTTGCGAATGCCTTCGCGGCCATTCCCCCTGCTTAAAGAAAAGAAAGGGGTCATTTGTCCCACTTTCCCGTTTGAGGTATAGCTAACAGAGTCGTCTATCGCGGTGGTAGTGTTTGCCGATATAGAATGGAGTAAAAACGCAAGGCCGATAAGGACGCGGCGAACCGAACCAGATGATGGTGGCGGGGCCGGGCCGAGCGGCTCACGGAGACAGAGCCAGGAACCTCCTACCCGGCAGACGGAGCAATCCTCTGCTGAACAACATGGCTCAAGTTGCCAGGATATCCATTCAATGCCCGGAGAACCTGGGGAGGCATCACAGAACAGCCAGCCAGGAGTAGAAGGCAGCAGTGTGATACCCAGCATAGAGGAACCGCGATCCACAACGTCCCCAGCAAAACGTCTTCTGATGAGAATAAGAACCTGGGCTGGAGAAAACCCTCTTTCTAAAACAAATCTCCGTCCTAGATTATCGGATAAGTTCCCTTCTTTTCCTTTCCCGACTAGGCCCGGGAGGAGAAAAGAGGCTCTGTTTCTGGAAGATGGAGTGCGAAGACCACGGCGCGCGGTGACGTCGTCTCGGCCGACAGCTCCTACGCGAGCAAGTGCGCGGCTGCGTCAGGAGTCAGCATCCCATCGTGGAAGACGAACCCAGCACTGATGGTGGGAAATGATGGGCCACGGGGAACTACACCCGCTGCAAATGAAGCAGCGCCAGCAGCCGGCCCCGGGGAAAATGTGCCAATACCTTTGAAAGGGCTCCTGGTCGGCGGCCTGAGTGGATAGGAATAAAGTACCGGCAAGATGAAATCCTGGTGATTTTTTTTTGAGCTGGGGGGGCTTGCATGGCTCTATCTGTTATTTTGCTGAAGAGGATGGATAGTAGATAATAGTAGGCGAGAGGGAAGAATGGAGTAGGGTTCATCGGTGGTATGAAAATCTTGGGGGGAGAATGGGATGGACTTTGTTTGTCTGTTATTATTCTTGGTGTTTGGGTGGAGCTAGTTTGATTGGATATCGTAAAAATATATAATAACTATGAGCAAATGCCAATTTTTTCACTCAACATCACACTCATCTTCTTGCTTCAGGGTTTTGCTGGGTTTGCAATGTTGTTTCATCGCCAAGCAAGCGCATCTCTTTTTGTCGACTTTATTTGGGAGAATCTGACTAGATTATTCGAATGACTACATATATTGAAGGATGGATATAAAATTGCAGGAATTCTTCCGCTGATGCGAAGCAATGAAGGTGCGGTGGTGTGGCGGTCACATCTTAAGTGGGGCTGGGCTGATTAGGCTCATCCACGTGAGCGCGGTTCGGCCCGACAAAGCTTAATTTGTGACGCTAGTATAAAGTTATACTATCTTGTGAAGATTTTTCCAAGCTCTGCTCAACTGTAGCTATATTTGAAAACACTTTGGCAAGATTCTTCGAGCTGGTTTCTGTTCATCTTGGTCCGAATCTCGTATCTTACTGTACTCCTGCTCCCGAGCTCAGGTGTTATTTAAAACTACGATACGGAAGTCCAACCAACAGCGTAGCATCTAAATCGAGATTAATTTGGCTTCAAGAACCTTTAGATTTTTTGTGTGACAGCAGATTGCGCTACTTTGAGTTAGTTTCTTCAGCGGTGCTACTTTGATCTTTTTTTAACCTGTCACAAAGGGCGGCCGCGTTTTGGACCAGAAGCACCATTTACCGCGAGAAGGCTGGGTTCGCTGAAGATCTCAGAATTGACATTAATTTTGCGGAGTAAATGGGCTCATTGTTGTCTTAAATAAGTCAGAGTATCTGTAAATATTTCAAGTCTTCTACATTGGCAAGCCATCGACTTTGAGAGTCGTACGGGATGGACTTTCATCGTGAGAGCGCTTCTACTCTTCTACTTGCTAGCAATGCAGACAGTTCCACAACAACAAGATCCCTGGGCATGTCAACGATGCGTTTCCAATTTCAATCACTCTCACTGAAAAACCAGAGCCTATCGCAAGTTCGAGCAGTTCAAAATTTGTGGTGGGTTCGTGCCCAACTTCTATAGCTACACACTTGCCAAACACAAGTGGTCTGATGCCTGATCTGAATGCTTCTCACATAATTTCTTTGTTTCCCTGTACATTTAGACAGAAAACTGGGTAGAACTATATAGAAGCCTGTAGTCGTTATTTTTCCCACACCCAAAAATTCAAGAATAACATCTTAGAAGGTAGTTAACTGAACCAGTGCTTCTATTCCCGTACCGGCAGGAGTTTTGCGTCGAGCTTAATCTAAAGGGCAAAGGTTACTACAGGTAGTGTTGGATAGACGTAAGCAAACGCTGCAAACGATAATCACGTGATTGAAAGTGCAAACAAGCCAAACACCCTCATTAGCTTCTGAAAAAGAGCCGCGTCCGCCCAAGAGACGTATATCAAAAGAATATGGATAGTCTTGCCTTCATTCCCGGTTGGATTTAACCAGTTCCACGTTCTTCCGTTTTCACACAACATTTATATCGTCGTCTATACTGATTTTTTGTTAAGGAAGGTGTCTTATATGCAACAATGATGCGGCGCCCTTGATCCTTTCAAGTTCTCTCTTCTCCATTCACCTAGTTTGATTCGGCTCCGCACTCGATCTCCCTCACAAGCTCATGAAACTCATTCATCCTGCCCAATAAATTGACCTCTTCCGCTACGAAACCTAACTGAACTTTGTTTCGGTTTTCGATCACCGCGAAGAACATGTTTACATTTACCCCTTTGCTCGGGGCGCAATCATCAAGCTCGAGAGCTGTTCAGTCAATTCTAGAGCTCGATGGTGGAGTTAAGATTCTGGTTGATGTCGGTTGGGATGAAAGTTTTGATGTATCCGCCCTTGCGGAGCTGGAAAAGTAGGTTTCTCCTTGTGTACCTCATATGAAAGACGATTGTAGGAGGCGATATATCACCTAGTTTTCCATCTTTCTAACCTCAGCTTCCTCCCTGCGAGCGCGATTAGACAAGTCCCCACTCTTTCGCTCGTTCTTCTGACCCATGCAACGCCCTCTCACATTGGTGCATTTGCACATTGCTGTAAACACTTTCCTTTATTTACTCAGATCCCCATTTATGCAACCAGTCCAGTCATTGCCCTAGGCCGTACACTTCTTCAAGAGCTTTATGCTTCCGCACCGCTTGCTGCTACCTTTTTACCGAAAGCTACATCGGGGGATTTATCTCCGCCTTCACCGGTACCCAAGAGAGCTACGCGTTCAGCTGATACTACAAATGTCGACCATGACGAGCCCCCCGGTATACTTTTACCTCCCCCCACGTCAGAAGAGATTGCCCGATATTTCTCACTCATTCATCCCCTGAAATATTCCCAGCCGCACCAACCTTTGCCGTCCCCGTTTTCTCCTCCGCTCAACGGCCTGACCCTCACGGCGTATAACGCTGGCCATACAGTTGGAGGTACCATATGGCATATTCAACATGGTATGGAATCAATTATATACGCTGTCGACTGGAACCAAGCAAGAGAGAACGTTATTGCCGGGGCAGCCTGGTTTGGAGGTTCGGGTGCAAGTGGGACAGAGGTCGTTGAGCAGCTGAGGAAGCCGACTGCGTTTGTCTGCAGTACAAGGGGAGGGGACAAACTGTCGCTTTTAGGCGGGAGAAAGAGAAGGGATGATCTTCTCTTGGATATGATTCGGAGCAGCTTCTCCAAAGGCGGAACGGTTTTAATACCCACCGACACCAGCGCGCGAGTCCTTGAGTTGGCATATGTTTTGGAACACGCGTGGCGAGAATCGGCAGAGACGGCAGACGGGGCGGACCCCTTGAAAAGCGGGGCACTTTATCTAGCCGGAAAAAAAGCTCATGGAACAATGCGACTGACACGAAGTATGCTTGAATGGATGGACGAGGGCATTGTCCGTGAATTCGAGGCTGGCCATGGTGATCCTGTCGCTGTCAGCGGTAAAGGCCGCCAGGACGGCCCGAGTCAGCGAAATCCGTTAACGGGTATGCCAGATAAACGAGGCGATGGTGCATTCAAAGCTCTCGGTCCATTTACGTTCAAGTATCTTAAAATCGTGGAACGCAAGGCCAAACTTGACAAGATACTAGGATCAAACACGCCTAAAGTAATTTTAACATCTGACACATCACTCGATTGGGGATATTCTAAGCATGTCCTTCAAAATATAGCAACCGGATCTGAGAATCTTGTTATTTTGACAGAGTCATTCTCAGTTTCTGCTAATAAGGAAATGATGGACGACGGACGTTCTACGACCTCGCTGGCTCATGAGATATGGTCGATTTATGAAGAACGAAAGGACGGAGTTGCATTAGAAAAGGCCCCTAGCGGAGAGCTTCTGGAGCAAGTCCACAGCGGCGGGAGGATGCTAACCGTCACCGATGTTGAGAAAGCTCCTCTGGATGCCAATGACTTACTTGTCTATCAGCAGTACCTAGCAACAAGAAGGCAATTGCAGAACACTACACAGGGAAGGGGAGACTCTGGATTAGAAACCGCGGCCGATCCACTTGATGATGGGTCCAGCTCGTCCTCTTCCGAGGATTCAGACTCAGAACAACAAGGCAAAGTGCTAAACTTTTCGGTTTCTCTCGCTCATTCCAATAAGAATAAATTAGGCTTAAGCGATGCCGACTTGGGAGTAAATATTCTCCTACGACGAAAGCATGTTCATGATTACGATGTCCGTGGTAAGAAGGGCAGAGAACGGATGTTTCCCTACGTTGCTCCAAGAAAACGTGGAGACGAGTACGGCGAGTTTATACGTCCAGAAGAATACCTAAGAGCTGAGGAACGCGAAGAAGCCGAAATGCAAACAAAGCGTGGTCCAGATGGCCGTATTCAAACGAGGCCTGGTCAGAAGCGAAGGTGGGGCGATGTCAACGCCAACGGAAATCAACCGGCAATCGTTTCAAATAAACGGCAACATGTATCGTCTGGCTCCCGAGATTTACAAGATGCCAACGCAGAATTAGCACTTCCTAGTGGAATTGGCGCTATCAGCACCGAAGATGCAAGTGCATCTGAAGAGGAAGCTGAAGAACAGCCCGTCGAGGGGCCTTCCAAGGCTACATTTACTTATTCTACCCTGGAGCTGAATGCTCGTATCGCCTTCGTAGATTTCTCTGGGTTGCATGACAAGCGTAGCTTGGAAATGCTCATCCCACTCATACAACCTAGAAAATTAATATTGACCGCAGGTCTCAGGGAAGAAACATTGGCCCTCGCCGCTGAATGTCGGAATCTATTAACAGGGAAGGCCGCCGTAGACCTAGGGCCGTCTAGTCAAGCTGCTGTTGACATATTCACACCGGTGATTGGTGAAACAGTTGACGCCAGCGTGGACACAAACGCCTGGATGGTTAAGCTAAGCAGTGCTTTGGTTAAACGGCTCAAGTGGCAAAACGTCAGAAGTTTAGGGGTTGTCGCTCTCACAGGAGAATTACGAGCACCAGAACTTACGGCTGCTGATGAAGATGCCCCAGAGGTGTCTCAAAAGAAGCAAAGGTTGTTACCGGACAATGCTCCTAGCACTGGAGGGAATGAACAAAAGCAACTGGTTCCTAGCAAGAACGCTCTCCCACTTCTAGATGTTCTACCGGTCAAAATGGCTGCGGCAACAAGATCCGTGACTCGAGCACTTCACGTTGGGGACCTCCGGTTAGCCGATCTTCGCAAACTTATGCAATCTTCAGGCCATACCGCGGAATTTCGTGGTGAAGGCACGCTTTTAATTGATGGGTTTGTTGCTGTGCGGAAATCTGGGACAGGGAAAATTGAAATTGAAGGCGCCGCTCAATCCGCGCTGTCTAACCCTTCGGCTTTGAAGAGTGAAGGGAGTTTTCTAGCAGTCAAGAGGAAAATTTATGAAGGCCTGGCAATCGTTGCAGGTGGATAAATCATTTTCCTTTTCTCCAGTCATTTACCAGAGGATCCCATTTTTATTTTATTTTAAAGTTTTTCCCCCCGTTTTACGTTGTTCTTGGTCTCGTGTGTTTGATATCCAAACATGATTCTCGAGATCCAAAGGTGTTCCCCATTGAATTATTATTTATTAACAACGTGTTTTATTATATGCTGTTTTGTTGTTATTGGCTTTCTCATTCACAGAACAACCAGGGGTTTGTCCTGCTCACAAAGAGATTTCTTTCTTGTATCAGATTTTACCCTTTTCACTTTTTGATACAAGTCAATCTGTGAGGATAAAGAAGCTCTCTCTGTACAGTGTTTTGATACTTCTGTGGGTGAAGATGCCCACTTGCCAAATACTTGTCTTATCACCTATTGCATTGGTTGTGAAGTTCAAGTTGTGTTTGCAAGAGCTCAATCATGATCTCCATGAAGACTATAAATATCCATACGTTCCTCTTTCCCTAGCGCCGTGCTTCTTACCTTTTTTTCCCTCGAGATCAAGAAGAGTCGGTTCATACAGTGTACAAGCTTGCTACATCTATACTTCCCTTGATACTATTATAGGTTGGTTCCCTGGTGTCCTGGGGCGCCCCTTCGATGAACTTTACTTACATAAATAGCCATCCTCTTTATTGCCTGTCCCGAGGTGGCACATATATTCCCACGTTCTATAATGGCCGAAATCCGCTATTTAACTATGGATGGACAACCTCCGAATGGAGGAATGCCACCGAACATGGGGGATTTTCCACAAGTGCAGCCCCCACCATTTCCTGTGCCAGTATTTCCAATGGTTTTACCAGGACCTACTCCACAACCACCTCCTTTACAAGCACCTCTCCAAGCATTTTTTGGCCCAGCACTGTTCTCTCCAGGTATGGGCTCCTACACCCTCTCCAACTAGTCTATCGCCTTACCTAATGTCCACGCAGTCCCCGCTCCCGACATGTTTCATTTCCAACCCCAACAAGCGCAGCAGTTTTCTATGCAGGTACCTGTAGCCCAAGCGGCTGCTACACCCCCTGCAGCCCTTGTTGCTCCCGTTCCTTTTCCCGTTCCCGTTCCCGCTGCCCCTGTCACCCCTGCCGCTCCCTCAGGCCCCAGCTTCCAAAACCCCCACGGCGGTAATATTCCGGGTACAGACGACCAACCACTGGTTCTATCTGGAGGACATGGGTATCTATTCCCTCCCAAGAACACGACCATCCATCTATTCCGCTGCACAACATACTACCCTTGGGATTCACAAGATGGAATTATCGAGTTCGTGACGTACCAGGCTCCTACGAATATGACCGTGGCGGACCTTATTAGACAAGTATGCCCTCAAGGCGATGATATAAAGGGCCGCGGAGTCGTCGAATGCCAGCAAGCGGTCAACGGGGGTGCGACCGTTTTTACTAGGGGTGAAGAATATTTCATTGGAGAAGGGAAAGGAGAAGCTCAGGCCATGAAAGACAGGGTAGGCAAAACTCTTGCACAAGTTGGATGGAATGAACACCGGAAGGCAAATGCAAACCCAGTTTGGCTTGCCAGCTCCATCAGCTTTTACTAGGCTTCTATTTTGACCTTTCTTTTCGTTACTTTTATTATTATGTGTTATTTTTATTTTTATTATTTATTATTTATATTTTGTTTTAACTGTCTACGAGCCTAGCAGACTCTGAAGCGTGGAGTTAGGTTACCTGGTTTCACATTTGGAATTCTTTGATTTATTGTCTCTCCAGGTTGTAAAAATATGTTGTCCACTGTGTTTCTCTATGCATCATTTTGCCAACAGTTCTCTAACATGCCCCTGATCTAACTTGACTGACTTTGCTCTTTTTTTTTCTTGTTTTTTTTTTTTTTTTTTTTTTTTTTTTTTTTTTTTTTTTTTTTTTTTTTTTTTTTTTTGGGGTTAGGTTTCATGTTATTTTCTGTGTCCTGCGTATAGTTATATGTCATGTTATGATGTTATTGCAGATTTTAACTCTGCGTTGGCTGTCTTTGTTGGGTTCTTTGTGTTCTATATTTGTCCGGCGGGCAACCCACTCCAACGCTGTATACTACTTCTATATTAGCCTTGGTCTTTTGAAAATCTGGGACAACAATTCTGATATTTATCGAAAGCCTTACACTATTGTTTTATTTCATAAATTTCATATAGCAATGGCATTATCTTCAAGATTTTGGTTCAGGGGAAAAAGAGAGCCTTATGATATGACAACCCCTTTAAAAATGGTCTCTGTATTGAATCTAGAGGGTGGGTGAAAAGAAAACCTGTCGCGTCGGCGTTCTTTATCTTCTTCTTATATGGATGTCCCCTCTATGTCCTGTGTAACTTCCTCAACCCAGTGCTCCCAGCTTCCTTTATTCACAGCCCCACGAGACCCATACTCGAATAATGGATACCTATGAGCATATTTGTTCTCGCTATTGCTTCTAAGTAAGCTCCGAAGCTCCGAAGCTCCGAAGCCTTGATGAGCAGAAGCCTCGCCTTTTACGCAGCTAGTTTGCTTCATGCCGGCCCCGAAATCCTTCCTTACAGCTGCTTCGTCTGCTTCCTCCGATTTCAATTCCCAGGGTCCAGCACGATACCCACGGTTATTCAATCTCAAAAAATTATTGACTAAACAACCCGCCATCATAGCCGATAGCTCTAGCTGCCTTCTCACGAACGTAGTCAAGAGCTCAGGGCTTTAGGGATATGTCGTATTTGGGCGGCACAAAATCTCTTCATGTGTAAGAATCGACCAAGTGAGGCAGACCAAGACGCCCTAGTGAAGCCATTAATAATTAGATAGCTATCGCCTAACGGGCTACGGAGTAGTTAGTTATAAGTTAACTATCACATAGCACAGCGCCGGGAAGAACAAGCCACTCAAAACCAACCAGTGTGCATCAGGCTACCAAGCTTCCAGATGAGGTAGTTAACAAACATTCAGGTTGAATCATCACACCTATCCTCCTGTGGACAATGATGAAGCTAAATAATCTAGGGTCTGTTATCCTGACCATTACCTTAACAACCCCTACGTTGTAACTACTCACCTGGAGTATTGAAAAACAAAAACAGAAAAGGGGCGAGTAAGTTAGTTAATCAGCCAGTCAAGAAACACATGGTGAACTCGGTCACATAGTTAACTATACACCTTGACCACACTGACATCACAGACTTCAAATCCTTCTGCAACAAATGCACTGTGACACCATGACGGACTGCGGTACTACTTGTTGGTTAACGTTATCTGCTGGAAGGTCAGCCTCAAATTTGGCATTTGCACTAAGTTAACCAGAGAGAAAAAGATACGGAGAATTGAAAATTTACTCTCTTGTACTTCATCTTCATCTGGGCTTATCATTAGCTCCCATGATCTGTAAGATGCTTGAAATGTTTCCACAGTAGTTATTCTCCGAAAGAACTATCAGGGCTGTCCAGCGAATTAACTCTCCCCTCTCTAGTTTGATTTGTCTCATATGCCATGCGACAATATGAAATATCGCATCACTTTCACCCTCCCTCTCACCATGCCCCAAGCTCAGTCAACCGACGGGTTTTTTCTCCTGGAGGGCCCCTAAACACCGGCATATCCACGCTGTTACAAATGTTCTCATGATGCAACACTTAAAGACACCGAGCATACAGATTTCTTCTTCATTTAGTTTTCTTCCCCATGTCGAACAGAAGGATGCACCATCACACTTCCATTACAAACTCTAGCATTTAGAAGTGAGTCTACTAACCCAGCGTAATTTTTCGATTCCCCAGCTAAGCTCACACCCGTTGATAGTTTTCAACCATTGGGAAGTTTAGCGCTGCATACCTTCGTTTAGTCTATGGCAGCTACTCACCAGCCTTTCAAATTACCCGCTTGCATATAATCGTCCGCATATTTTAACAGGGCTTGTAGTTGCTAAGAGAGGTGCACCAGTTCCCTTACCACCCGCCCTCCATCGTAGATTGGGTATTGCGGCCGTATGTAATCATCTCGAAGGGGACACCGGAAGCATCCCGGCTATAATATAGGGAACTGAATGTCCACCATCCAATGGGCGAGATGTCTTAGAAAACCGTGCATACTGAGCTTGCATAAACTCACCGTCTGTTCAGATGGTAAGCTTTTGATATATACCGGATGTAGCCTGGTATTTTCCATGGAGATCAAGCCAGTGCTTCCTGCATGAGCTTGCTTGATGTCGAAACTCTTTTCCTAGACGCTCACTTCTGCACTTGAAACAAAAACGAAAATATGGCCAGCAATGAGATATGATCAATGGTGCTCATCCCGTCGAAATTGGCGTAAGTAAGGCGCAGGATGCCTTCCAATAGAGGAATCTCTTGAATGGTAGTTATGTCATTGAATGTTGAGGGGACTTGGCGGAAGAAAAATGACCAGAGCAGGATTTGTGGATATTCCGAACGACTTGTACATAGAGAATGTGGGCGGATCTAAAACGTCCCGGTGATCTAAATTCGCTCGTACCCCAATCTTCTGCCCTACTTTTTGCCCGCTACAGCCAATCAATTGTCATTCTAGACTGTGATCTAATCATGAAATCACGTAAGTCCAGATGGCCATCACCGATAAGTTCCCTTCTCTATGTGGCAGGGAACAAAAGGCTCAAAGAAATTGGCCGGTACGAGCAGTTCCATCTTGATGCCGTTTTGGAGACATATACCCTAGCCCTCTTCACCCGCGTACGCAAGTGGGATAGGAAAGAAATCAGCATCCTTGTAGCACTTCTTAGTGTCGTTAAGTGAAAAATTGACGCAAAGGGATTGTCTTCTTTGTATGTAGGAAATAGATAAGCGGATGTTGTAATTAATCCAAAAATCTTCTATATCAATCAGAACCAACGCTAGGAAAGATCCGTTCCGCTAATACCCCTAAAGGAGCAGAGCCAAAACATGAAAACTCATGGTTACTTAGAGAAAGGAATATTGAAAAACTCGGAGAAAATGGAGGATATGCGAAAGATATGCCCAGAAGGTCGTGGGATTTTTCAGGCATCAAAACCAGCCGTGGTACCGTAGGGGACGTCGAGGTCTTCAGTTTCGACTGCTTGGAGAAGATCCTTCGTACGCGGTCCCGTGTATTTCCTAATATACTAACGTCAAAAGGTATACTTTTCAAAACATGACATGAACCCAAGTGGGAGGTTGCAACCACTTACCGCCTGGCAGATAGCCACCACCACGAGAGTGCAAATAGGGCTATGAATGCAGCCACGCATATTGCATAGTTCCTGTACACCGTTAGAATAAGGTTTTGAGTATCCTCTTCGGACATTGTCCTTACATGTTCTTTGGCGTGATCGGCCTCGTGGGCGGGAAGAAAAGGACCACGCTTATGAATAAAACCCAGACGATAGAAATGATATTCAAGGGTGTCCCCCATTTCCCAAGTGTAAACGGTCCTTCGATAAACTGCACTTGATTTTTGTATATTTGGTGGGCTAGGATGACAGCAATGTATGACAAATCAAGCGCAGGCGCTGTGATATTGAATATAGCAGTGGCCGTCTCTGTAGATCCAATGGCGATGCAATTGAGGCAAATACTAAAGAAGACCACAAACCAGACGGCATTGACAGGGGTCAATGTATAGGGGTTTACCTTCGCAAAAAACCTACTAATAGTTAACGATTGCACGAACGTAATAAGCTTGTAAAAGGCAGGTGGAAGAAGTTCAATACTTTGAGAAAGGAAGTGCATCGTCGCGTGCGAAAGCATAGGCCATTCGGGTATCTGCAAGCATGGCCGAGCAACCTGTGAAAAACTGAACAAGAATAGAAAATGAGAACATTATTGTCCCACCTGTTCGGCCACCGGCATTAAGAAAGATCTGGGCAGCCGGCAGGCCAGTGGGCGAATCCAATATTTTATCCAAATCGGATAAACAGAAGCACATCGTCACGGTCAACATCCATCCAAATACTCCTGATACAACGATGGCTAATTGAATAGCGATTGGTCCACGTATGGCAGCGTCATGGGTTTCTTCTGACATGCTAAATTGGCATTGCTCTTAGCAATTGATTAATAGTGCACCAGTACAACTAACCCACTTACTGAGTCGTCCCGTCATAATCGGTCATTGTCCAAGCCACGGATATAAATCCCAAAAGAAAAGAAAACGTTTTGGAATTCCATCCGGAGCCATCTGTCACATTTGTGAATACCCACTTGGCGGATTGTTTATCGGGCGTGAGGATTAAGAGCGCAATGCAGATAGCGATTGACGCAATAACTATAAATCAGAAATAAGATGGAGATCTCTTTTAAAAAAGCATCCGGACTAGGAGCCATACTGTTGACTGGAGCGAACCACAGTACAATTTTGTGTAAACTTTTGGTACTTAGAGAACACACAGTGCCCATTACGCATAGTAATGCAATGGACAAGAGCACAGTTTGATGGGCATTCCTGTGCGCGTGGTCAGTGGAGGAGCTTTTACGTCCCGTCATGATAATACAGCGTATATGACGGGAGATGCAGCAGGGTACAAGAATGGTGGTGAGAAGTGCATCGGCAAGTCAGAAAAGGGTAGAAGGGAAACCTACGGCGAATATGAGTATTCTCCTCCTTCTAGAGAAGAGTTCATGCTTGCGCATGCCAGTAGCATTTGGCTTACGGTGTACGCAACGCTAGATACACCAGCAGTCTGTCCAAGCAAGTTGCACCAGCCTTGGATCCAGGAAAATATAGCAACTTGATTTGGAGGCACAACATGCTTTGTCACAAAATACATACCCCCCGCCGTGGGGTATGCTGAGACAAGTTCAGCAACTGAACTAGCAATACACATTGCCATGAATGATCCTATAAACCAGCACCATACAGCAGTCGCGGGGCCGCCCGCGGCTAAAGGGGGGCCGAATGTTGCGGGAACAGAACCGAGAACTCCAAGGATGGAGATTGCGTATGAAACTGTAGACCATTTTGAGAATTCTCTCCTCAGCTCCTGGGCGAATTGGTCAGAAAATCCCAGGCTCCGCTAAGACGCGAACGACAGTTAAGGAGTTGCTACAACACCCACTTGTTTGTACCCTATTCGTGCCAATAGTCGTTCATCATCGTCTTGTATCGTAGCCATCGCCGAACCACCTCCTGGGTACCCTTTGAAAGGTAGCTGGTTGCCCCTCGTTCCTGGTCCACTGTTTCCGTTTGATTGCTGTTCATTATTTAGAATCAAAGACATATTTAGTCACGGATTACATCCGGCGGGGATATTACGAGTTTAACAAAAAATAAAATAAATAGACAAAAGAAATTTAGGCAAGGCGAGGAAAAGTGTAGCTTGTCTGATGCGACGGTCTTTTAATTTGAAGCTTTTGACTTACCGCTCTTCGACCTCCAAGAGACCTCTTGTCGTCAATCAGACCTGGCTAAGGGGAGAAACTAGCACCACTCAAGACCATGCCGGGTTGTTTGGAGGGATATGGAGCCGCTTTCGGCATCAAACGATCCAAAGGGCCAGCAGAGATCCCAATGCGTGGTGAGATCCGGTGAGGAGGAGGTTGGGTTGGACAGTGTCCAAATCCCTGAATGAACCGGCATGGTATCATTATTATTCAACCCTTGACACGCTACGCCAACGGGGCAGCCGTCGTCCATGGTAGCTGTGAAAAAGCAATTCTCTCTGGCGTGCGATTGGAGAACGAATGTTGGCGGGGCAGGGATGATGGCCTTCTCGGGTTTTTGACCACTGGTTGGGCCGTGGCCCTGAGAGCACAGAATTTTGTGGCCTAAGCATTTTGCCCACCACCCTGATATCTTCAACCTTGCTCTTTTGCGAATGTCATATTAGAGGTTGTCCACAGATGTCAATGGTCGAAGATAGTGCACAATGGGGGATTCTGAAGAATTAGCCTTAGGATCAGCTCTCGCGGCGGGAGTTTAGCGACACGTGGCTCTGATTCTGGTGTTTCAAGTAGTTAAGTTACCGTGGAAGAAACTAGAAATGCGAGGAGAATGAGTTTAGTTAGGCTTGGAAATTGCGACAGCTGCGGAAGTTAAGGCTCCAATCCTCCCTCCCGACGCTCCCCCGCCATTATAGTTTTCATTCATCATGACTAGTTACTCAACTGCCGAGACAAAGGGCATGAGTTACTAACGATTAACTAGCCACACCAAGATCAGTAGCACGAGGTGTAGGAAGAAATTTCTTGCAGCCATCTCTCTATAGGATGAAACACCGCACTCAAGAGGGATTGTACCCCAACAACCGCTGTTCCAGAATTTTGACTGGCGGCGATAGATTGAGCATCCTCGGCGAAGCCAAATGGTTAGGCATCATGACCTGTAGGCTGTGTTTGGGCTAGGAGCTCGCGTTCGATGATGTTCGTGCTAAAATACCATTTGCGTCCGGTCCGGTCCGCGTACGGTGCGCGCCGTTGGCCAAGGCAAGAGCCGGAGAATTTGACGTCATTCGAAGAACCGCGGCTTCTTTTTATGTCCCACCTTTCATTAGTAGGAGAACCGATAATCGCTCTTCAGAAATGATAATCGGGCGTCTCAATCTCTCCAACCGTCACAGGGGGTTCTACTCTGCCCAGGTGAATTAGCTTCTTGACCCAGGCGGAAATCGGAGCTCCATATTTCAACCATACAAGTTTCAGGATTCTCAAGTTTAAAAGTGGGGTATTCCGTGCTTATCCCCGAGAGGAACTTCCATGCTGGAGATAGAAGTGGCATAGCATCTTCTGGAATTGTTAATGGGCGAACATTTATGTGCATTTTCTACTCGTCGACTCGGATTATGTTTTCTTCGCCTTTTCTTTTTATTGAAAGAGCTCACTGGATGAATGTCTTGGCTGCTTTCCACCAAAAAATTAAAATATAATGTCAGTCCGAATCTTTAACATCAACGGATGCGGTAGAGGCCTCCAGAATGGCGGGATTGAAATAGCGGTCAAAAGAGAAAAGATCAATCCCATTCGGCCTTGACTCATTCTCTAAGGCGGCGTGATGCCTTGGGGCAATTGGCAGGTTCCCCAAAGCCCAATCCTGTTCTCGGCTGAGGCAAAATAGTCAAAGATAGTCGATTGATATCGTCGCTTCTCCCATTTATGGTTGTTGGGATGAATAGCTTCATCAGCTTCAAGTGGGGATTCTTATTCGTCTTTCTCCTTTTCATATTCTTCCTTTCCCTTCCCCTCTTTTATTTTTATTTTATCTTAAGAACCGAAACATTTTGACTTTGAGCCTCTGGGTAACTTGGTCTTCGAAGATTTGGGAAATAAAACTCGTATTCCAGCGAGTTCATGCATATGCAAGTCACTTGTCTGCCCCCGGGTGCATTTGATGTCGGCTAGACCAACATTAGCACTAAAAATTTGTTGCAGAACATAACGAAAGCGGCCGAAATATTTTTGAACTTCCATGATAATGGTTCCCGTCTCCTTGGTGAAAAATAATTTGACTATTTTGGTCGTCATACTGTCCAGTAGCGGCGGTGCTAATTTAAATAGGCGATGACCGAAAGAAAAGAGCTTATTTCAACATTGTCTTTAATATTTCTCACGAAAAGTCACCCCTATTGGCGCATACGTCAGGCCAGAAGGTATTTGTTCTGGTATCTTGTTGATATGGATGGACTCACATATGCAATAAGCAAGCCTGAAGAGGGAATAAATCCGGTGGCTGTTAATGTCTGCTGCAGAATTCCCGTGCTGATAAAATGGTAATGCAAGGGTTGACTGACCAAGTCTCTTTCCTTCTGCTATGTTAAGATACAACAAGTGACCTCAGAATATCCTACAATAATCCCGAATCGGCTATTGGCTCGAGGGCTGACAAAGAAGGTCGATATCAGCATCCAGGAATCCAATGAGGGAGTTGTAACAGTGATATACCCCCTGCTCCGCATGGCGTCGGGATTGGTCCAAGCCAGTGAGTTGTTTCTTTTCCAGGATAAATTCCCTTGGACGTAAGTAGAGTATCGAGAGCTGCAGGCCAGCGGTAGGATTTGTCCTTTGTGAACGTAGGAAGGCAGAAACAACAACCGCTTTCAGGATGTCAAGTATCTTATTTTAGCGAATGCTGCATATGGGCGCGCATATTGTAGTAATGTTGTATTCGAGACGGCACATCCTCAAAACCACTCTAGAAAGATGGATACAAAGGATAGATACGCAGTTTGATACTGCCAGGAGTCATCTGCATGCGTGCCCCATCCCTTAGATGTTTAATGGAACCGTTTAGCTCCAGTCCACGAACAAACACTGCATAACTATTGTGTGTAAAAGAATAGCTCATCATGTTCATTGATGAGCGCACTTGTTTATTTCGTGACATGTAAATCGATATGTGGGATCAACCATATTAGCAGCCTTCACCTTCTCCGTAATTTGTTTTATCCCAGAGAGTCATATTTTGGCGTAGACAAAGATTAACAATGCCCATGTTCCCAGAGTACACCTCTATTGAGAGGGCCGCTTAGTTGGGAGAAATTTGAGATGGGTAGATTAGCAGTGCCATTTCTCATTCTCTAAGAGGTAAAATGATCCCCATCTCTGTACTGAAGTTATCACAGTTCTTCAGAAATTGACCTAGCATGTGAGAGCGAGGGGAGCATTGATCTTGAGGAGCAGTTTTAGTGGGAGATTCAATAAAGGCCGGGAAGAGAAATTTGAGGCTGGCCTTGACTTCCCGCTTCCTCGAGTGAGCGTGCCACTTCTTCTCAACCAGTTCACAAACTTGAGGTAGTAGTGTTTGCGAATGCTGCCCTGTGCACTGTTGGATGAACAGAGTCCGTTGGTATATCATGCGAAGCGCGAGCTGTGAAGATGAGCTGAACATTTGCTCCGGCCCACAAGTGTGGGAAAATATGTATGGAATGTGAATATTAAGTGTAAGCGGTACAGGAATTTCGTATCCAACGTTGTGGAATTAGATATCACATCCGAACGAGGCCGGACATAGTTGATTGAAGAGAGAGGGAGCAAGAGAGAGAAATGAAGACCCAACACTCAAATGTGACATGATATTTTAATCTCCCTTAAGTTTTTGACCAATGCCAATAAACCTTGTACGAAGTACTGTACAAAAGTTTTAAGGTATAATTTAACAACTATATAAACCGTTGTACTCGCAGTTGAGACATGTCCCTCATCCTTTATTCCTTAGTTGAAAGTACATGTACCTATAACATAATACATATAGTATTTACGGAGTAGTGTGGGTGTGATATCGCAAAACTTAACACTTGTATAAATATGATTAAGAGCTTTTATACTCGGACGAGATTGCATACGTTGCTAATGTGCTTTTTCGAGTGTGCGGCGCTAGAGTAAAGGCTCGACGATTCTTGTGGGTACCTGGAATCAGATTTTGCGACTCCCCCTCTGAACCAGCCATTCAAACCTTGCATTGCGCCATAGACAAGATCTGGTATGTTCTGTGTCTGTAGCAGACTGAAATACTCTTTACATCATGCTTGGCATATATCGGATATGGATCAATAATGGTAACAATAATGAATGCCTTTGCAATCGCGAAACTCTTATAAATTCATAAACGTGCTATGCTAAATAAACTCCGCCCAAATCACCAGTATGGCGGCCGTAACCCGCTTAATCCAGACAACGTACTTTCCACCCCGGAGACTGCCGAACCGCCTTCCTCCCTTTTGCGATGACCTCCAAGCTCAAGTTGGATCTGCCGGTGAATATGCACTAGCCAGTCAACGTAACTTTGGGCGTCGTTGTTTCTGTCTTCTAGAAGAAGCCTGGCAAACTCGTATTCAGAGCCATCTATCCCTTGCCGTGCAAGCTGTATTGTTACCGACTTGGAGCCGCGAATGGTGGAGAGGTATTGAATAATATTCCGCACTTGGGCATTCAAATGAGTTTCCAGCAGAGGAATGGACGAAGTGTTGGGATCGAGAGACTGTAGCGTTGTTTTACCGGGGCCAAATAGGTCTTCGAGAAGATTTGGTGAAACTTGGGCATGAATCCAAAGTAAACAAATTTGGCCATTATCCACGAGGTAGGCACCACCCTCTTCAATACGGGAGAAGGATGCTCGGAGTGCTGGAGGAACTTGGAGTTTCCCTTGCTCGTTGGCGAAGCCGTCTTCTGGGCTAAGGTTATGAATCGGAATAATACGAGGGTATAGATAAAGCGAAAGTTCATTGCAGCCGAAAGAGCGAAGCATCCGCATATCATGGACTCGACGATCGGAAGTCTCGGGGCCGGCTGTTTGATGTCAGAATGAAACTTTATGCCAAATAAGTAGTACAGATATATCTCGTTTATGTCGCCGAAAAGCTGGTGCTTACCCTTGAAAGCGCGGCATTTCACCAAACTCAGTATATACATAGAAAACTCCTTCATATTCTCTGGCAGGACAAGCTGCCCAGGAGGATGGGACAACGAGAAATTCTTTCGGTAGCCCGCAAGGATATCGATCGTCCTTTCAGTTAACCCAGCTCGGATATCTTTAAGTGACTTATCAGGCACTTTAGAGGCAGCTGTGAATCCCAAGTTAGTATTACTTCCTACATTATGACATAATTCAAACAAACCTTCTTTGGTCACTATATTAACCACAGCGTCCTGATCAATTGCCTTCATCGTCTCCATCCCGCCCTCATTGACAGCCGCAACAATATTGATGCATCTTACTCGTCGCTGGCCGCTAGCTGTAGTGTACAACAATGCAGCTTGGAAATGAGCATCTAGTTTCGTATCAAGCTTTCCGTCATACGTGAAGACAACACCAAAGGCCTTGTCTGCATCAATACTGCCTAATTGCAAGTCTGAACCGAAAGTGTGCTGCACGAAGTTACCATGATAGGATGAGACTTGAAGTCCATTGGAGCATCGGACTTTTAGCAAAGCCTGGTAACCCGTTTCCCTGTTTACAGCATGAGAAAGTTCATTTGATAGCTTCAAGACATCGCGAGGAGCATGGAAGTTAGGGTATAGGAAGGTCTCCCCGCCGGAAACTGCAGCAACATGGCCTGTTTAAAAAATACTTAGCATATGCCGGCAAACCCATGAGCGTAGAACTTACCGATCGTAGCTATGTCCATATAGGCACCACCACATGACGCCAGGAAGAAGTCAATTCCGACTCCACTCTCAGATAGCTTATTTGCGGTCTTTTTCCAACCAGGGTGATCAGTGGTAAAAAGCTTCTTTTCGGCATCAGTGCCCGATCCCTTTCCATCATCTCTCATGAACAGTCGGCCTGGTCCCCAAGTTGGTAAGCTTGCTAGCGCGCAAATCATTTTGCCACCGGTTTGTTCCAAAGCAGACAGGGCGGCGTTTATTGCAGGTAATAGTGCTGGCTCCGGATTTTTAATATGCGAAAATAATGTCGGTATTTGTGTTAATAGTGATGAGATGACATGTCTAAAGACAAGTTAGTATGATGAAAATAAAAGGGAGAACGTTATGCTTCTTAGTACTTTGATTCATAAGGGTCAACAAATAGCCCTTCACTCAGAGGAACGAAAGGATCATCAAGATCGGTCATGACAATCATCTGGGCTTGTTCGAGGCGGGACTAAGAATTCGTAAGCAGTTGAGATTTAGACAACGAGGCTAGTAAACGTACGCAAAGATTATAAAATTGTACTTCTTTATCAAAAGTGATTATTCCGACTTTGGACCCTTCAGGAAGTTTCTTTGTCGGTGTATTTTCGTCCTCCGCTGCTTGTTCGTCGCTCTCGCACCCATACAGGGCTGCCATTATTCCCCCACAGCATGCTTCTAAAAACCCTCGAGTTACTGATTCTTGTGAGACGTCGATCAGGAATAGCCAGCGTAGCCCTACAGGAACTTTGCCCCAATATTCTTTGGGAACCATATACTCAACCGTTCCCAGCATCAACTCAGGGCGTTGCATGCGATCGACCCTGACCCCTGATGGATCCAGGGGCGAAAAGTATTCAGGTGGAACTTCGTTTGGAAAGGCGCACATGTTGCATACAAATTTATTACCTCCCGATCTGAACATCATAAAAGGATTTATATATGCTCTGCACCTTCGGCATCTTGGAGGGCCAGCGTCGCCAAAATCTAAGACAGGGATAGGTTGTTCGCCAGAGTCTAATGGAGCAAGAGGTTGGATAACCATACCAAGAGGAAGGGCAGTGGACGACAGGAATTCGAGGGTAGATGGGATATTATTAAGCGTAAGCCGAGCGAACTTTGGAGAGGAATTGCCTTGGTCGTGTGCTACAAAAGGGACAGCTGCTGGAGGGGGGATGTGACGCTCCATCGTGGGATATACGTGGTTGAGATAATATTGTGCAGCAATATCACGCGCAATTGGAACGCCTGGAACTTGCTCAGGGTCAACCTTCCCCTGAGTATGTACGGAACCATCGCCAGCAGCAGAAAATGAGGGTTTCATGCTTCCACCAAAAGAAGGCCGTCCAGCTTGTGAGGGCTGTTGTAAGCCTGGAGAAGCTGGATGAGAATATGGAGAGCTTGGTGGAGGTGGTTGATTCATCCCCGTACTAAGGAACTGCGATTGGCTCTGCATTCCGCCTTGTGGCATTCCATTGAAGGCTTGTGAAGTAGGAGACGGGCCACCGAAATCGTGATAAGCATGCCGATCTTTCTTCTTGTGAGCACGAACGCTTCCGCTCATAGCTCCACTGATCCCTAAGCCGCCCATTTGAGATGACAATTCTCCCATTGCATCCGGGCCGGGAGTTGTTGGCCCATGCGATCCCGGAGGATATCCGGGAGAGCCCATGGGCCCCGCGGGAGACGTACTTTGTTGGATTTGTTGGTAACCCGGGGGCCCTGGAGCAACCGGCGGGTTGAATTGCGGCGGCGCAGGCTGATCCTCGCCCTGGCCAAGGGAGTGATACGTAGAGAAGTCGGCCATGTTGCCTCAGCCTGTGCCAGATGCGGATTCGCCACAGGAGAACGATGCGGGCCCTGTGGATTTAGTTCGCGGGTGTCCGCAATTGTTATTCTGCTATATCATAGCCAGAAGAGGCAGAGGTCCGGCGTGTAGAGACTGCGGGCGTCCCTGACGACAACTGACAACAACTGACCACCTATAGCTTTATTGCACATGGCGGAGTTGTGGAGAAACCTTATTACAGTCCGGATTTAAGTGGCGCCGACGCCGATCTTTTAATGTCACGTGTTTCATTTTCGAGGCTCCAGGACCTTGTTCCGTTTCGAGCTTGATGAATCTTCTGCCCGTTCATTCGCAGCAATGTTGTTGTTTTCTGTTGATATGTAAAACATTCCCGTCCGGATGTTTTCTCTCTTCTTCTTTTCTCTCTTCTTCTTTTTCTTTTCTTTGTCTTCCTTACCAGTTGGCACAGCTCGCTGAGGAACAGACGCTTACGCCACACATTTCCAAAATAACTGCCTCTTTGTATCAATTTCCTTCCCAACATGCTCACATTGCTTGAGGCTGCATATCTACTGATTGTTTACTTTGGCCTCCTGGCATCTTCTGTTGCTAGCGTGGTGTTCCAGAACAATCAGTGGAACGCCTTTTGCAGTTTTGATATGATCCACCGGAGTCGGGATCAAAAATACAGTTTAGTACAACCTATTCTCATCTATCGCGGCTTCAGAAAATGTCTAGGAGTGCAAAACACTATCTTCCCCAGAAATGAAGCCAGACATTATGTTGCCCTGTTATCCGCAGTACTAGACCAAGACTCCTCGTTCCAACCGAGCGTTTTCATCTAGCTCTCGCGCAGCTTGGCTTGGCTTCGTTGGTACATAGTTTGTCCAAAGGTAAAGCGTTCCTGATTGTTCTCTGCAAGATTTGCCACTTATTCTATCATGAGGAACTCAGCGAAGCCAATGATGTTCATACGTGGAGGATTGCCCACCTAGAAGCCGATGTCTGATCGAATGGCACGCACGGGTGGGTACGAACGAACGATCATAAGGTTTACATAATGCCTCGTAACTCGGGCAAACTATATTTCGATCAAGGTTTTTCGCAAAGTTCAGGGCAGCAGCCGATTCACGGCGATAACCTACCAATCTCTCTCATCCAATTGATCTTGAAGGATTGAACATGGTTGCGGCCGCTCCTGGCATTTTTACGGGTCAGTGTGCGCATCCCACAGGCCACTTGCCTCGTGAGGCCAGTTTGCCCCTGGGATTTACGGCTAGGCTAGGAACCGATATCCTCTACTTGCGCCCCGTTGAACGTCAGTTCAAAGTTTGTTTAATCTTCCAACGGTAATGTCCAACGCAGTAACTAGTTGATGCCTTGGTGAACCTGGACACGCGCTTTTGTGGAGTTCTTTCATGGAACCCGAGAGGTTCAGGAAAACTCGAAGCGTGTTCCCAGAGTTATCCAGGTGGCGCATCACAGATGTCTGCATATAAATACCCCGATGAACCCACCTCAACATGTCTTTACGATTCTTCATTTTATGCTCTAACCAAGTCTTCATTGTTATTCCTACAATCATTTCTTGAACCCTGAAAGTTTACCTTCATTTTAAATTTACACACACGTTCTCTTGAGAACCAATACGACCCCAGTTATTCTTTCCACAAACTTTTAGTTCATCATGTATACCAAAGTTTTTGTTGCTGCGGCCACCGCATTCGCTACTCTTGTTCCAAGCGTATTGGCAGGAAATGCTATCGTTAAGAACAATTGTCCGTTCCCGGTTTATCTCCAGTCAGTCTGCGAAAACGGTAACGTGCCGAGACATAAGATCGAACCCGGTGCCACCTTCACGGAACAGTATCGCGCCAAGCCAGACGGCGGCGGCTGCTCACTGAAAATTTCCGACGAAACGAGTGGTAGTGAAATCACCCAGTTTGAGTACACACTTTCGGGGGAAAAGGTGTTTTATGACGTTTCAAATATCGACGGCTATCCCTTTATGGAGAATGGTGTCTCTCTCTCCTCAACCACCCACGATTGCCCAGTGGTCAATTGCCCAGCTGGCGTCAGACTGTGCAAGGGAGCCTACAACAAACCAGATGACGACCACGCGACTCATGCGTGCGCCTCTTCCTCCGATCTCACCTTGACCCTCTGCCCAGGTGGCACGAAACGGCGCCATCAGCGCGAATTCATGAACTAGCGGGGAACCTCGAAACTTTTCAAACGCCGCGGTCTTTCCACCTACTATTCTTTCACTACGTTCTTTTGCACAACATTCCTTTTTGCGAAAAATCTTTCCTTCCCTTCCATGGATACCATCTATAAATTCCCCATTACATCGCTAGTACGATGCCTTGTCACCCTGTTCGCAATCGACTTTCAGGGTTTTCTATTTTGCGTCCATTTATGACTTGGTTCCATTTTTATGCGGGCGTCGGAAGGTCCAGCTCTGATTGGGCCTCTACATTATTTTATTGCTTCTCTTGCGACGATAGATTATAAACACTATATATCGGCATGGTGGGATAAATATCCATCACCATATAAATGGCGTGCTTTCGAAAGACCGATACAAGCCAAAACGAAATCAAAAAACTTTACTACTACTACTACTACTACTACTACTACTACTACTACTACTACTACCACTACTACTACTACTACTACTACTACTACTACTACTATTATTATTATTATTCCCATTTATATTTCCCATACATAAACTCTTTGTTTGATGTGAGGCGTCGGTACAGTATGATAGTCTACTTACAAGTGCAGAATTCTATCTGTGCTCCCAGTAGCTTTCTTACGTGGGTGGACCGACGTGAGATTTTACTTGATCCACATACATTTTGTTCATCCGCAGTCCCTTCGCTTTGTTCTTCCATATCTTCGAGAGCGCCACGGGCGACCAGTAGATTGCATGGGAAACTTTTGGGTTTGTTGACTCTCGGAGTTTTATCGTCGAACCTTGGTCTAGGTATCACGTTAGCCCCTTGCGCTAACCGGTATTGGCTAGGCAGCGCTAAATTAGAGTTTAGTCCCGAAGTTAAAATTGACTACATGGCTTATGTCATCCAATTTTTCGGTTCTCGTTCCAGGGGACGAGGGATCTTATTGAGGCGAGAAAGTGTCAGAAAAAGAGGCCCCACGATCGGATCCATTATTATTCATGGAGGGAACAATGGATTTAGGTGCCTGCCACTGCGGGCCACCTGCTTAACTCCTGTCCTGCCCTGAACCCCCTGAAGAAACCATGGATCAACTATTTCTTGCATTGTCAGGCTGTCTCAAAGGAGCTAGTGCTGGTGGCATCAGGATTATGTTGAAACCGCGCTAGAAGTTGGACACAGTTTCCGACCTGACCCATGTTCAGCTGTAAAATGCTCCGGGGCAAGGTTTGATAAGATGATTTAAACATGGTCAGGCAGGCGAAAACGGAATAAATGCGTCCAATGTTCGGCTAGGATGGAATGCTCGGAGCATGATGGCTCCTGGGCACCTGTGTTGGGCCCATGGCTCACACCCTAAGCCTGCAACTGTCATATTGTTCTCCTCCATGCACATCATCCCCCACCTCTCAGCGCTCATCAATGCGTTTCGCATATGCAGGTCCGTTACCACCTCAATTAACTCGGACGGAGGATGCACTGGGCAGTGTCTTGGCCGCACCGTCGCAGATACTTCTGATGGAGTCTAGACCCTTGTGTCAACGGCAACGGGCTCCGTGACCCTTGATACATAGAAACCCAGCCTAAACCGATAAGGTCTCCTCCTCCCCTCTCCCTTCCAACACCCCCCCCCTCCCTATTTCCCCATTGAATACTACCATGCGCGGTATTAGAACAATCTTTGTCTCTTAGTAAATTAGTAAATTTGACCGCGCCGCAAAATCTCGACTTAGCTTCATGCATGTCATATGCACGGCATGAAAGAATCATGAGCGAAGTCGAGCACTGGCCACCGAAGCCTATTCTAGCAGTGATGTGTTCACGGGGCATTGCCTATTTTTCTCTCGTCACCTTGCAATTCCCAGAAGGGCCTGCCTCTTTGCCTTCAGCGGGCATAACTTTGTGAATAATAACGCCGTTTTCGATCTTTGATATATTTGAGGAGCATCGGAGGAGGTGTGGATTCAACCACGCCACTAACCGGCCCCAAATTCGGTAGCCGGATCGCTGGATGGTGCCGCTGCGGTGCCAGCGGTGGGCTCCGCGGCCCCTCACCACTGTCACTAGCCACGTGTCCCACTCCTGTGGGGGGGAAGTTACTGGATTAATATTGGTTCTCGCTCCTGCCACCGTAGTCACGTGCCCCACATTCTATCCCCTCGTCTGTGGCGAGGAACAATTAGCGTGGCGTGTACGTACACTATACATTAGCGCATTAAATACACAGAAACTACTGGGTTATATGAGGGATCAACTGTATTGACTTGTTTTAGTGTAATTTATGTAATCTATTGACCTAACCCTAATTAAGATATAGAATTGGAACTCCTAAATTATAGAGAAAGAAATATTATTATATAGAGCACAACCAGATCTTGATCTTGAAACTCTATCTTTATTCTCTCTTGCTCTCTTTCTTTTATACACATCAGACACAAGCAGAGGAATTCAATAATGATGAATGAGAAAGTTGACAGAAGAACACATACAGAGTAGAGCAGAACAATGAGATAGTGAATCTGTATCAACAAATCAGATTTAATAGAGGGATCCTGCAAGCACCTTTCGCAGTAATAGCCTTCCTTATATGGTTTAACGTCACGTAAATTAATGTTCAGTGGTGTTTTTAATTAATGCCACTATCCTATCACACAGGTGGATCCGTACATGCGATGTTTCCGCACGAATTCATACATACTGCGTAGTATGCGCATGTAATTAGTGCTGTACAGCCTTCCTTATTCAGTTAGTTATAATAATTGGCGCTTCATCATCAAGTTAGCCTCATATCTCATATTGTTGTAAGGCAGATTGATCATCAACTCCACCTACTGCGTAGGCCTTTCTCTATCCTATCCATGTTATCTATCCCCCTGATTTGCATTCACAATTGCCATACCATCACCATTATTGCCATCAAGCCCTTATATTTTCAAGATTGAAATCAAAATGGGTGTATGAAACAGGCGGCTGATATCCATATGAAAGACCTCACTTTTTATTATTATTATTGGAGTTCAAAATAACTGTACAAGCGGCGGCAGCAGTGGCAGTGGCAGCTGCAGCTGCTTATTACAGTGACGGATTATTATTATATCCATTAGTTACCCGGCATACAAGAGGTTTTCAATTAGATGAATACAATATTTACAAGGCCTATGCCACAGCCAGCAGCGCCGAATCGTGGCATCTATGCCTATATAGGAAGGCCGTGCGTACTAAATATTTCATGCGACTTGGCGCTGCAGGATCCCTCTATTGTATAGAATTAGTGTGAGAAATTATTGATTGATACTTCTGAACTAACAGCTTATAGTTGTTACACTAATGGGATTGTGCTAATTGTGCCTCGCGCCCAGACGAGGGAGGGGATGAATCCTCCTACAGTTTTACATTATTATTAATAATTCCTTATAGCTGAGAGCGGCTACAAGATTGTGTATCTGGGCATATTCCGAGTCGCGAACCGAAATATTGGCTATATTTCTAAATCACGTGCACCTGATTCGAAGCTGGCCAGTGAGCCCGTCTATAGAATGGTTGGCAGCCTTTTAGGTTTCTGATTTGGAGGTAGAGACAAAGGAGGTGATTCTGCAAGAGTCCTCATCTATGCAATCTATCAAGAATGGTCAGCCGCTTGGAGTAGTAGAGGATCACTTAAATCCTTGTTGGGTGTTTTATAGAAGAAGAAAACATTTTTATATCCAAACATCAATTTATCAATTATATAGCCATGAATGGGGGAAGGATTCCAACTAAAAATTGTCTCATCTCGCCGCTCCCGTACTTTCTCCTTTCACCTTTGTCTCCCCTTGCTTTCGAAACAGCACTCGAACTCTCTCCCAAAACCCATGGGATCGGGCTACCCTCAACAAACCATACGCCACCAGCCGATAGATAATCGTGCAAACACCCAAAGCCATCAAATTCATCTCAGGGTTCTTGTCCAAATTATACAACCTCAAGGCCTGTTCACCGGTCTCGATGGGGCAGTGGCCGTTGGGTAGGCGCTGGGAGTCGCTACAAGTGAATTGATGACCGGCCACTGAATAACCGGCCAGATTCGCAACCGCATATTTGATGGGCGAGAGATTGTTAAGGGCTTGAATAACGACGGGGATGTTGAGGCTCATTACGCCTCCGAGAATGTTGGCGATGGAAAGAAGGATTGAGGTAATGTTTACAGAGAAGCCAGCGTGGGAGAATAAAGTACAGAACATAATCCCTAGCGATTCGCCGCAATTGACTATGCAGAAGCAATTGAAGGCTGCGATGAGAAACATTTTCACCGTGCGTTGCATACCAACCGCGAATGCCATAAACGCCCCGAAAACTAGCGAGGAGAGAATTTCGAAGGGGACTTCGAGAATCGTGTATTGTACAATAAATGCCTCGATGGAGTAACAGTTATCTTCCTGTTCGCGGTAAAAGACATCTCTTTCGTTGGGGTATATAGCAATATTTTGTAACATTCCTGTTTTAGGGTTAACTGACCACATCTCGGAAAAACTTTTTGGCATTGGGATTCGACGGGGGCTGCAGGCTTTACTCACCAACAAAGTACATAGCAGCGAACTGCTGGAGGATTCCCATCCTTGACTGTACAGCCTCATAATTATTCTGCAAGGGAGCGAAAAACAACAATATGATAATTGCCATTCCCACCACTTGCATCGTTCGCGCAACGATAAGCGGCGGTTGTCGCCGCAGATTGATTAGAGACCGACGCAGGACCAAGGGCAAAATGACGCCGAAGGAATTGATTTGTCTCCTCAGACTTCCCAGTTCAGCAGGAGTGGCAATCACCGATGTTTGGCGACTCAATTCCACTGGCATTTCTGCCCAATGTGTGATCAACCGTTGCACCTTTGCACGGCTCACCGCTTCTCGCTTTTTCTCTTGGAGGTCTACTGTAATTAAATCCAGAACAAAATCGGCAGGATTCGTAGTCTTGGGGCATGGGAATCCAAGTTGCCCAAAATAAGATAGCATATCTGCTCCTTTTCCTGCGTAAACAGGGTGACCGCCCCTGGAGAGCAGCAAAATGTTGTGGAAGTGGCGGAAAATGTCTGATCTGGATTGGTGTATCGTAAGAATAAGAGTCCTGCCCTCAGCTGCCAGACCTTGCAAAACCTCGATTATAGATGTGGCCGTGAAGGCATCTAGGCCAGAAGTAGGTTCATCCAGGAGCAAAATTTTCGGGTCTGTTAAGATCTGTATCGCAATGGTGACTCTTCGCTTTTCCCCGCCGCTAATACCCTTAATAAGGTCACTGCCAATTAAATTGTTTGCGCAGTCCTTGAGACCCATTTTCAGAAGAATGTCTTCTGCACGCCGATTTTTCTCTTCCGTTGACATCCAAGAAGGTAGGCGCAAGCCAGCAGCAAATTGGAGACTCTCCCGTACTGTCAAAGACGGCATCAGAGCATCATCATCTTGAGTCACAAACGAAGTGACTGATCTGATTACACTTTCTGAGGGCACCGCTCCATTATAAAAC